GAAATTCTAGAACTAGAAAACCTTGAATTACGCCGTCTTCGGTCTGATTTAAGCATGGTATATAAAATCATACATTGCAATGTCCTACTTGTCAATGAATACTTCAGCTTCAATCATAGCAACACTAGAGCACACAATAGATACAAACTCAAAGTAAACCGCACCAAACTTGATTGCAGGAAATACGACTTCAGCAATAGAGTGGTCAATGTCTGGAATACTCTACCCGACTCTGTAGTTTCTTCCCCCAAACCCCAAACACTTTAACCTTAGACTGTCTACTATTGACCTCACCCCTTTCCTAAGAGGTCTGTAGGGGGCGTGCATAAGCGCACCAACGTGCCTACCGTCCCTGTCCTATTGTTTCTCTTATTCTTCTTTTATTTTTCTTATATGTACCCATTTCATGTATTCACAACTATGTATACACTTATACTTATTATCTTGTAAACAATTGGCAAATCAAATAAATAAATAAATAAATAAATAAAATAAATAAATAAATAAATAAATAAATATACCAAGGAATCGTCCGTTTCTTTACTCACGTTTCTTAATTGCTCACCAACCATTTCCAGCTTCTTTTCCGTTTGTTCCGTCCTTTTCTCAACCTCCTTTATTGTTGATTTATTCCTTTCTAGTGCTTGCTGTATTGTTTCAATTTTTTGATCCAGCTTGAAGATGTCTAATTTCATTTCTACCTTTAAGTTCCCCATCTCTTCTTTTAATTCATTTGTGTCAGCTCTTGTTTCAATATGATTTTTTACCATTATTTCCGGAAGTTTCAGCATGGATTCTTGTAAAGTAAGAAGGGTCGATTGGATATTAGCATTCGTGATGACAGGTTGTTTCTCTCCAGGTAGAGTTTCTTCAATTGTCTTTTGTGCCATCACTGAGGGCAATGGCATCACAGTTGTTTGTATTGAAGAAGTCTTCTGCCCGCTTTTAAGCGTTGTGTTAGTCATACAGGTCATTTCTTGTAAAATTTGTTTTTGTTTTTGTATTATACTAAATACGTTGTCCTAAATTAGCATTCGCTATTGAGAAGTATCAGCTATATATGGCCACTACTCTAATTAATATGACATGTTACAGGGTTAACCTCTCTTGTCAATATATATACTGCTCAAAAAAAATAAAGGGAACACTTAAACAACACAATGGAACTCCAAGTCAATCACACTTCTGTGAAATCAAACTGTCCACTTATGTAGCAACACTGATTGACAATCAATTTCACATGCTGTTGTGCAAATGGAATAGACAACAGGTGGAAAGCATAGGCAGTTAGCAAGACATCCCCAATAAAGGAGTGGTTCTGCAGGTGGTGACCACAGACCACTTCTCAGTTCCTATGCTTTCTGGCTGATGGTTTGGTCACTTTTGAATGCTGGCTGTGCTTTCGCTCTAGTGGTAGCGTGAGACGGAGTCTACAACCCACACAAGTGGCTCAGGTAGTGCAGCTCATCCAGGATGGCATATCAATGCGAGCTGTGGCAAGAAGGTTTGCTGTGTCTGTCAGCGTAGTGTCCAGAGCATGGAGGCACTACCAGGAGACAGGCCAGTACAGGAGACGTGGAGGAGGCCATAGGAGGGCAACAACCCAGCATCAGGACCGCTACCTCCGCCTTTGTGCAAGGAGGGACAGGAGGAGCACTGCCAGAGCCCTGCAAAATGACCTCCAGCGGGCCACAAATGTGCATGTGGCTGCTCAAACGGTCAGAAACAGACCCATGAGGGTGGTATGAGGGCCCGACGTCCACAGGCGGGGGTTGTGCTTACTGCCCAACACCGTGCAAGACGTTTGGCATTTGCCAGAGAATACCAAGATTGGCAAATTCGCCATTGGCACCCTGTGCTTTTCACAGATGAAAGCAGGTTCACACTGACACATGTGACAGATGTGATAGGGTCTGGAGACGCCGTGGAGAACGTTCTGCTGCCAGCAACATCCTCCAGCATGACCGGTTTGGCAGTGGGTCAGTAATGGTGTGGAGTGGCATTTCTTTAGGGGGCCGCACAGCCCTCCATGTGCTCGCCAGAGGTAGCCTGACTGCCATTAGGTACTGAGATCCTCCGACCCCTTGTGAGACCATATGCTGGTGCGGTTGGCCCTGGGTTCCTCCTAATGCAAGACAATGCTAGACCTCATGTGGCTGGAGTGTGTCAGCAGTTCCTGCAAGACGAAGGCATTGATGCTATGGACTGGCCCGCCCGTTCCCCAGACCTGAATCCAATTGAGCACATCTGGGACATCATGTCTTGCTCCATCCACCAACGCCACGTTGCACCACAGGCTGTCCAGGAGTTGGAGGATGCTTTAGTCCAGGTGTGGGAGGAGATCCCTCAGGACACTATCTGCCACCTCCTCAGGAGCATGCCCAGGTGTTGTAGGGAGGCCATACAGGCACGTGGAGGCCACACACACTACTGAGCCTCATTTTGACTTGTTTGAAGGACATGACATCAAAGTTGGATCAGCCTGTAGTGTTTTTTAACACTTTAATTTTGAGTGTAACTCCAAATCCAGACCTCCATGGGTTGCTCAATTTGATTTCCATTGATCATTTTTGTGTGATTTTGTTGTCAGCACATTCAACTATGTAATGAACAAAGTATTTAATAAGAATATTTCATTCATTCAGATCTAGGATGTCTTATTTTTGTTTTCCCTTTATTTTTTTGAACAGTGTATATTCTCCAGAACAATTTTAGAACTATTTTCTAAATCAAATTCCTGGATTTGTTGATCTTAGTAATATATCAAATTCCTCTATTTAAATTTAAATATTATTAATCTATATACACTGGACAGTTTGATTTCACAGAAGTGTGATTGACTTGGAGTTACATTGTGCTGTTTAAGTGTTCCCTTTATTTTTTTGAGCAGTGTATCTATAAATGCTATAAAATCCCTAATTTCAAAATAGTGTTATAATATTTCAAATACTTACAAATCTAAATGAAAATATATCAACCTTGCTATACAATAATTAATTAGTTAATCTGTAGTCATCACAATTAGTCACAATTAATTATTTAAGTCAATATAATCAACGCCTATAATGAAATATCAATACCTAAATAATTAATTATCACCTCCTTTTTTTGTGCTATAACCAAATATAAACTTCAATATTTACTAATGTATCAATTAAATCATATATAAATTACATTTACCACATTCAAAAATCAGTTGAGTTGGTATCTTGTATGGTGATTGTATGTAACAATCCAGACTTCAGAACCGCCATTACTGATGGTCTCTTGATGTCTTCATGAACCCAAACACCCGAAATACCCATCGTGGAAAAGAGCGACCAAGTTCGGTTCTAACAGATCCTGAAAGCAAAACAGAGTTGGTTGTGTGAATGGCCCTGGATGGAAGGAAGTACCTTCTAGGGCAGGGGTGGGCAAACTACGGCCCGTGGGCCACATCCGGCCCGTTGGTCTGTCCAATGCGGCCCGCCCCTGAAAAAAAATAGCTGCCATTGGTCTGTCCAACCCGGCCCGCCCCTGAAAAAAAATCGCTGGGCGTGGCGTATTGCCCTGTGCCGCGTGGCCCCCAAAGCTGCAAAACAGTGTGGAGCGATCTAGGGGTAGGAAAGAAAAGAAATTTGCAAAGGCCTCGGCTGGGAGTTCGAAATCACCTTCGAGTGCGACCTCTCCGAAGGTAAGTCCCCGCAGATCCCCCCTTTTTTTCCGGGGCTTCCAGGCTTAAACTTTGCAAAGGCAAAGCTTGCAGGCTGGAGCGTCTTCCCGCCGAGGAGCGGGAAGGGTTCCACCCGGCGGGCGGGGCGGGCTGCTTGGAGCCACCTAAAGCTAGGCCGCTGCTGGTGGAGCCTTGCCCTGCTTTGGTGCCCCGTTTCCCGGCTCGGCGGTCCTGCTCGGGTGGCACTTTAAAAGTCTGCTCCCAGCACCCGAGCAACTTCCCAGCAACTTTCCGCTTCGTTTTAACTCGCGGGCGCTCACGCCTGACCCCAAGCCGCGTGGCGGAGGGGAAGCCCGGTGGGTGGGCGGGCAGGCGGGCTGCTTGGAGGAGGTGACCCGGCGGCGCTCCGGGCTTCCCCTCCGCCGTGCGGCTTGGGGCGAGGCGCAAGCGCCCGCGAGTTAAAACGAAGCGGAAAGTTGCTGGGAAGTTGCTCGGTTTTCCGGGGCTTCCAGGGCTTTGCAAAGGCAAAGTTTGCAGGCTGGAGCGTCTTCCCGCCGAGGAGCAGGAAGGGTTCCGCCCGGCGGGTGGGCGGGCTGCTTAAACTTTGCTCGGGCGGCACTTTAAAAGCCTGCTCCCAGCCCCCGAGCAACTTCCCAGCAACTTCCGGCTTCCTTTTAACTCGCGGGCGCTCGCGCCTGGCCCCGAGCTGCGCGTCAGAGGGGAAGCCCGGTGGGCGGGCAGGCTGCTTGGAGGAGGCGACCCAGCGGTGCTCCGGCAGCAGCAACAGGCAGTTTCACCCGGGCTCCGCTCAGGTGTCTGGCTGGGGTTGTCAGGAGTTGCTACCGCTGGTGCAGCTCCGTGCGGCTCCAGTCCTGCGTTGCCTTGGGAAGGAAAAGGCAAAACCAGGAGCCGCTGAGCCTGAGCCTCCGGTGCCGCTGTTCCCATTGCAAAGCACCACCGCGGCTCTTCCTTTTTGCCTTTCCCTTCCCGAGGCAACGCGGGACTGGAGCCGCGCGGAGCCACGCCGGCGGTAGCAACTCCTGACTCAGGGGGCCTCCGAGGGGAGGGGAAGGGGGAGAAGAGGGGGGGAAGGGGGGGGCGATTCCCAAAAAATCTTGTGCTGACCCGGCCCGTCTGTCAAATTTTAAAAGTCAATGCGGCCCCCGAGCCAAAAAGTTTGCCCACCCCTGTTCTAGGGTGACTCAAGAGAAGAAGATCCCGAGTGAACCCTTCGCACAACCCCTGTTGCCCCTTTGGCAGCCTTGGGGCAACTTCTGAATATTTTTTGGAAGACCCAAGAATGAAGTGAGTGTGCAATGATGAAGGGAGTGTGCATGTTTGCTTGTGTGTGTATACATCTGTGTGCTGCCTTGCACACTTATAATCGATTGCCATTGCATGGCTAATAGATTCAAATAGATAATACCACATAATGATCTTCTGTCTATTCCCTGAGTTAGTTAAAATAGTGCATGTCAACTCATAAAGCATTCCTATGCCTGTTTTCGAGGTGCCCTAAGCAATATTAAGACAGGGTCTTATTTTGGGGGAAACACAGTACCAGGGAAGCTGTGAGTTGTGCAAACTTGTCCGTCCCAGAAAGGGGAAAGGACGAGATGGAAGACACCAGGGTGAAGGGGGAACTCAAAAGGGAGCCTGGAGCAGCCAAACTCAGCATCTGACCCAAAGCTGCTGTGGACGGGAAGCGATGCTGCCGCCCGTGATCCCCAACGTGCGGCAAATGGCTTTGCCAGATGGAGCCAAATTTTGTTGGTCAAGGGGATTTGGCAGACTGGAAAAGATGGAAGAATCCCCTCCAGGAATCACCGTCGGCCGAGGACTCAGACCCAACGTCCACTGCCTGGCAGAGCTGTTTGAACCAGTTCGGAAGGATCCCCCGAGTCACCAGCATCAACTTCCTTAGAGACAAGTTCCCGGAGGTTAGGCTCTGCGACCGCCCAAACCAACCAGTCCCAGCTCAGGCACCAAATCCAGTGGGAGCAGCTACTCAATTTGTTCCCGATCTACCAATACTGCCTATCCCGCTGGCACCAGCAGCCCTATCAGTTCCTCTCGTTCCACCAGCACGAGGGGTAACGCTAATGGCCCTACTGGGACCGGCTGTCCCCTTAACACTAGTCATCTTCCCAATTCGGGAAGAGTGCCAACCACAGTACTGGGGATGAAGTACAACGGGAACCTGAAGCAGCTGGAATTCTTCCTGGTTCAAGTGTTAAGATTCTTTGTCCGTCCTGGAGCCGTGTTCAAGCAATGATTTACCTATCACTTCAGGAGGGGATACGTCCAGAACCTTTTAAGGAGGCCCCGGTTCGCCCCCTCCTGAAAAAACCATCACTTCATCCCACTTGCTTGGACAACTTTTCCCTGACAAATGAAGGTGAATATACATGTCCCGGGATAATGTTGCAGGATCCAACCTGGGTCCATCACCGAGACCAGAGGTTTAAATGTCAACGTTCCAACTGATGAACCCAAGCAAAGAAAGCACGTTTGGGGCGATCCAATCTCTGAACGCAAAGCTTTATTGAGTACATCGTTTTGGCACTGATGAGGGCAAAACCAGATCGAGCTATTCCCCGCGCAAACCCACACGATTGAAGTATAGAACAGCATTATAGAAGTAGAGTGTTTCACCATCCAGGAGGGAGAAGGAATCTAACTGGCGGGTAGTGGCACCAACAACATCAAGCCATGGTGGCACAGTGGTTAGAATGCAGTATTGCTGGCTAATTCTGCTGACTGCCATCTGCCAGTAGTTCAATTCTCCCCTCCGCCCGCCCCTCCCCTCCCCGCCCAGTCAGTCCTTTTTGCGCAGGCGCGACATAGCTGATTGCATTCTCCCCGCCCAGTCGCTCCTTAAGGTATTTCTTTTTTTCTCCCCGACAATCAGCTGTTCCAACAATCAGCTGTGCCAGGATCCCCCTCGCTCTCTTACTGCCTCATCCACTAGATTTCCCTGAGGCCCAGAAGGCCCAAAAATGGAGCACCGGGAGGGTGCTGCAGAAAAGCCACGCCCACCCAGCCATATGGCCACACCCACCTAGCCACGCCCACAGAGCCGGTTGTTAAAAAATTTGAATCCCACCCCTGGGGTCGAGGGAGCCCCCAGTGGGAGAGAAATGCCTGGCGGCGCCCCAGACGGACCTGGGTGGGGCTCCATCTGGGGGGCCTTGGAGCTGGACTTCCACTCACCTGGGTGAACCGCGTAGCAGGTGACGTTGGTTCCTTCCAGCCGCTTGGCCAACTCTCTGGCGTGCAGCATGTTGGCTAGTTTGCTGCTGTTGTAGGATGTTAGCATCTCCCATAACCCCTTTCCCGGCTTGTGGATGGTCCGAAAGTCGATCTTCCCCAAGAAATGCACATTCGAGGACAGAATTACGATCCGGCTCGGGGCGCAGCGCTTCAGCCGGTCCAGGAGCAGGTGGGTCAGCAGGAAGTGGCCCAAGTGGTTGACCTGGAAGGCCTGGTCAAAGCCATCGGCGGTTTGGCCAGTCGTAAAGACCCCTGCCAGAAAAGTAAGCAGATTATAGGCAGTCCTCGGCTTACGACGGGTCACTTCACGATTACGACCCGATTCCAAAGTTTCAATGGCTCCCCCTTGCGGCAGCATGATTGCATTCTGGGTACTTGGCCACCTGTCAGGTGATCGCGATTTATAACATTTTTGTCAAAAAATGCAGTTTTCAACAAAAACACCTGATAGTGAACACTCGGTTCACTTAACAACCGCCTCAAGAAAAGGATGTAAAATCGTGTGGGTTACAGGGGCTTTAGCCCCATCATAACTTCTGACATCATGGGCAGGCTCCACCACAGTCGTAACTTGAGGATTGCATGTAAAGCATCCAGTTTGATCGAGTGGTTAAGGCAATAGACTCTAAAAGTCAGTTAAGTCAATTTGGTCTAGTGGTTACAACACGGGAGGACATGAGTTCAAATCTCGCCTTAGTCTAAAAGCCTGCTGGATGGCTTTGGTCCAATCACCAGGAGACGGTGAGATCTAGTCCTGCCTTAGGCACGAAAGCCGGCTGGGTGACTTTGCGCCAATCACCAGGAGACGGTGAGTTCTAGTCCCACTTTAGCCATGAAAGCCGGCTGGGTGACTGGGCCAGTCTGTCTTTCCACCCAACCCACCTCGCAGAATTGTTTTGGGAAAAATAGGAAGAGGTAGTTGTGTTGGATTTGTCTTCAGTTACTTGTAATAATAATAACAAAGGCGGTAAGGAAAAATTTACAGATGCAAATAGGAGACAGCCGCTTCTCAAGTTATGGCCAAATCCTCAAAAGGAGAGAAATCCCAGACAATCCCCCCAACCCTCAATATTCCCCCTTTCCTTCCCCCTCCGGAGACCCTGGGGAGGGTCTGCTCTGGCCCCACCTGCGTTGTTGATGAGGATGTCCAGGCGGGGCTCCGAGGCTAAGAAGGTCTGCGCAAAAGCTCGCACGGAGTTCAGGCTGGCCAGATCCAGGATCATCAGGATCACCTCCGAGTTCCCACTTTCCTGGAAAAGCAGCGGGAGGAATCGTGAGCCTCGGGATCCGGTGCGGTTTCAAAGACGGATTCCAGTGCATAATAAAACAATACAGGCAGTTCTTGACCTATAACCATTTGTTTAGGGATGGATCAAAGTGATTTACGACCAATCCACTCACTTCTCACTATCTCGCAGCACCTCCAGGGTCATGTGATCGGGATTTCGGTAATTGGCAACCAGCAATATTTCGGATAGTGGCAGTGACCCGGGATCATGTGATCACTATTTGTGATTGTCCCAAGAGGATTCAGACAAGAAAAGTCAATGTGGGGCGGAAGCTGGATTCACTTAACAACCATGGGATTCACTTAACAACTGTAGTGATTTGCCTAACAACCATGGCAAAAAAAAATTGGGTCTGGCTGACTTAACAACTGTCATGGTTGTCTCTGCTCCATCCCTAGGAAATAAAAACCCCTGACTCCTTCCTTCCTTCCTTCCTTCCTTCCTTCCTCATTTTCCTTCTTTCTTTCCTCCCTCCCTTCCTTCTCGTTTTCCTCCCTTCTCTCCTTCCTTCTCATTCCTATCACCTTTTTCCTTCCTTCCTTCCTTCTCATTTTCCTTCTTTCTTTCCTCCCTCCCTTCCTTGTTTTCCTCCCTTCTCTCCTTCCTTTTCATTCCTATCACCTTTTTCCTTCCTTCCTTCCTCCGTTCCTTCTCTCCTTCCTTCCTTCTCATTTTTCTTCTTTCTTTCCTCCCTCCCTCCTTCTCGTTTTCCTCCCTTCTCCTTCCTATCACTTTTTTCCTTCCTTCCTTCTCATTTTCCTTCTTTCCTCCCTCCCTCTCTTCTCTCTTCCTCCCTTCTCATTCCTATCACCTTCCTTCCTTGCTTCCTCCCTTCTCATTTTCCTCCCTTCCCTCCTCCCTTCCTTCTCATTCCTAT